ATAGTGTTAAGGTTAAGGTTATGGTTATTATATTGGCTCATTGGGCTTTCTCAAGACCGTCGGGGGATGAAACATCACAAACATCTCGGATGTTTTGGCTGCGTATTTGGGGGCGTGAGCTCACACCCCCACACGCATTTTTCGCTACAGACTGATCTAAGCTAGGGAAAACATTCTTCGCTACAGACTGGTTCACTATGGGACTATATTTATTAGTTTTAATGTACAGTCGGAAGTTTAGGAGAAAAGCTTACTCTCTATTTAAGTGCTGTGTTTGTCCCTGCCCCCCCCAAGCTCTGGCCAGACTCAATAGAACACCTTGGGTGTTCCAAACTCTTCCCTGTACCAAAACATATCTGATGTTTTGTGGGTGAAGATTTATGCCTATTATAGTTTGGGTGAAGATTTCCAAAGCTCTGGGAGCTTTTCACAATTGGAGGACTTTGTTCACCTATTACGCAGTACAGGAGATCCATTGATAGGAATACTCATGGGTCTTTAAACTTTTGGCTACCGTCATTACTAATTTGCTTTCGGCAATCCCTTGGGTTGGCCAAGACTTCGTTGAATTGATCTGGGGAAGCTTCACGGTCGATAACCCTACCCTAAACAGATTTTTCAGTCTGCATTATCTGCTTCCCTTCATATAGATAGCTCTAGCTTGTGTACACTTGATCGCTCTACATATTCACGGCAGTAACAACCCAATTGGTATCTCTAGTACGGCTGATAAAATTAGATTTCATCCATTCTACACCTCCAAGGACCTTATTGGCTTCTTCATCTTCGGAATTGTCGTTTCTTACTTTGTCTTCTTTAACCCTAACTACTTGGGTCACCCAGACAATTATATTCCGGCCAACTCTTTGGTTACACCGGCTCATATATCGCCTGAATGGTACTTCTTGCCATTTTACGCAATTTTGAGAGCTATTCCTGACAAATAGGGAGGGGTTGTCGCCATGTTTGGTGCTCTGCTAATTCTTATTCCTCTTTCTTTTATCAGTACTGTAAACTTGCGTACTTAGAGATTCAAACCTATTCTTCATGCTATCTTTTGGATTTTTGTGGCTAACTTCTTCTTCTTGCTATGGCTAGGTGCTAAACCAATTGAAGAGCCTTATATTAGTTAGGGGCTATTTAGTACGATTGTTTACTTTAGCTACTTTATTTAGCTAATGATTCTAGGCTGCCTTATAAATCCCCCCGTTGGGGAGGGTCCGTAGGGCCCCCAAGAGGGGGGCAAGGGGAGGAGAAATTGTTAGGAGGGTTGTTACATATTCCAGGCCCGGAGAAAGCTCTTAGAGCTTTCTGATCCCGGGAGAAAACCGATATAGATCGGCTTGGACCGAAAACCGATATAGAGAAACATCACAAACATCTCGGATGTTTGGCCTCAAGCATTCGGGCCAACGGGCCCGCGGTCAGGGAAAGGAGGTATAAAACCCCTTTGGGCCAAGGGATACCGGCTATCTCAAAACATCATAGATGTTTGCAGATCCTTAGGGACCCACCCTCTGGGCGCTACGCTCCCCAACGGGGGGGGTCTTATTTGTCATCGCCATTTGCCATCGCCATTTGCCCTCGCTGAGTAGGGGCCAGTGGCTTTTTTTTGAGCCCAAGGAAGTTGGGCCGGATCATTGCTACCTATCGGTTTTTATTACACCCTTAGATCTACTTACAGACTTTGGGAGAAGACCCCGTTTACGAATTTGGGATGCTTATAAGTCAAAGGGCTGAGAATGGCGAGTTTAGTCATCGAATAAGGGCCCATAGGGCTAAAGCGAGTTAAATAAAGCTCAAGCTCTTCTTCCTCAAATATGTTTTCTATAAAGTTCCCGATACGCATGGGCTCTAAAGGATACCGGGTGCATCCGAGGCGGTGGGGGGGTGGACTCGTCCGCCTCCACCCCACCTATCTTAATTAGATTCCCATATCCTGCTTATAAATTATACAAAACCTCTCTGATGTTTTCTTAGTACTATTTCCCTTCTAGCTTAATATAAATTGATGGGTGCTAAAGTGCTCACGTAATCCTAGTGTCTGAACACCTTAGGTGTTTCCATACTGGATAGATACTTTACTAATGGTTCATCTTACATAGAAACCATTGCTAAAGGGCAAGGAGGCCTAGACCAGCCTCAAAGCTCTAAGAGCTTTGAGCCTCGATTGAACAAATCTGATTTAGGAATTTAACTGATCGTACCTATAAGGGCTCTTTAGTTACCAAACATCATAGATGTTTGAATTTAGACCACCTTTGTATGTTTAACTAATGGAGCACAGATTGGAACAAGCATTGTAGGCTGTACGCACATTTTTAGTTTTAGTTTTATTTTTATCTAGGAGAGCCAATCTACCTTAATATTAGGCTATCATTCTAAGAATCATTTATATTATAGTTGACCTGAGGCACCTTAGATCGTCAGAGTCTTACTTCAGATTCGTTAAGTACCTCATAAAGTTAAAATAAGCATATGGATATAGTTCTTTATTGTTCTAACTATGGAGGCACATTAAATTTAATATCTATCAATCTGAATAATAATTAGGACTACTGAATAGAGTTGTGGAAAGGGACGACAGAATATAATTGTAGAAGGTACTAATGGTTGTAATAGTAGGAGATATGTTTAGAAATAGGAACAATAGATTGGAGGACATCGCTTATTCAGATTTGATTAGAGAGAGAGAGACCACCCGGGTTAGATATGATTTGATATAAACTTACCTAGGGAGAATTTATAGATTCAAGTGTGGGGGTGTGCGCTCACGCCCCCACCACCCCACCTAAGTCAGATAGAGATTTACCCTAATAGCCCATATGAACTAGATCAATAGCTCCCCTTACTTCTTATATGAGAAAGCCAGAGTCAGTAATAAAGGGCAGGGAGGCCTAGACCAGCCTAGACCAGCCTACCATATAGAATCTTGTATCAGACTAAAGGATTTTGTGTCAGACTAAGTAATCATTGGTTTATCGCCAGGGTATTACAGGGCCAAAAGCTCTTAGAGCTTTGAGGTTTGCTTAGAAGATTCTTTTGTAGATTCATATATTATTACTTTATTCATCCATAAATCCCTTATTCATAGCACAATCGTTGTATGCCTGGTATAGGACAGTTTATATTAGAAGGGGTATCAATACCTAAGGATCCTCCATCAAGATATTTTATCTAATTAGGTCCCATGCGAAGCATGTTGTCTGGTTTAAATCATAGCAGGTACAGTCAAATCTTTATATTTAGATAGGTGCCTATTCTGAACTATTGAAACATCAGAGATGTCGAGGGTCATGATCATTCCTTCTAGGTGAGGTTATTTTAGCAGTCATCTTGGAGGGCTCTTGATCCCACCAGTTACAAGAGATTGGCGCAATCTTGCCTTTCATGGTTTAAGCTCTTGTTCACTTGGGGCCCACCACAAAATCTAGCCGAGGTTGTAACATACGCTGCAGTTGTTCTACAGATTCTACTATAACTTCTCCATATTCTCTCTCATTTCCTACTTTGGGTTGATCTTCTCTAAATTGATTGGTGTCAACTTATAAGATATAGCACTATAAACTCAATCACCATCTGTGCCATATTGCAGTCTCTTCTTAAGCTTTACAATTGCTTACAGGGTTACCAGAGGCTACAAAGCTCGGGGAGCTTTGTGACGGTGACCCATTGTAACTTAGCAAACATCATAGATGTTTTGAGTTCTACATAGTTATAGCGGATTTCAATAGGACTCCATAGTAATGGTACTTGGTAATATTGCTTCCATGATCTGGAAACTCCTAATCCTTATAGTTACCGTGGTATATCTAATTCATCTCTCTCCTGTTGCCTTAGTTGTTGACTCTCCCCTCCATGTACCTATCTATCTCTGTGTCTCTTACTTGACTCCTCCTAGTGCCCTCTCCTCTAAGACATCTCAATGCTCGGGGTTGACCCCTTGAGGTCTCCATTATGAAGTGCATATGCCAATTTGAAGGATATCACTTTGGAGACATATGTTAATGAATTAGTGCTGTATCATGGGGACCATAATTTGAAGAGCACTATTTAGACAAATGTTATTTCATTGTACCATGGATACTCCACAGCCATCTCTAAATTTAAGGATTATATAGTGCGCAAACATCATAGAGGTTTTAACAATCATTTAGTCAACCTGCCATAACTAGTCAAAACATCATAGATGTTTAATAAAAGTCCTTAGTGAATTTGACCCCTTGGGTCGCAGAACGATCGTAGCAAACCTCAAAGCTCTAAGAGCTTTTGGCCTTCAATTTTATAGTCCTCTATTTACTACTGCATCCTATGAAGAGGGTCGTCTATATAAGGAATCAACACCTTTGGTGTTGACATTAAATCAAGTTTGCATTTGAATTAGCATCTCCATGTCTTTATAAAGGATAATAAGCTTATAGATACCATTGAACACAATTTAGCTTCAAAGAGATGTATAATGATTTCAATCTTTTGAGATGTTTCATGTGCATAGAAAAATCCATCGCACCAAAACATCTCTGATGTTTCTGTAGGTTTCATAGAATCTTCCGCCTCTATTAAATGCAAGTTTTCAAGATGGCTCTTAGTAGAATGTCTAGATCTCATCAGCAAACATCAGAGATGTTTGCCTATGAATCTTGTGCATTGAATCTATGAAGGGTTGGCTACTTTGCAATGGCTTTGAACCTCGGCTATTTATGTCACTAAGATAACAAAGGGCTAGAGTTGACAATATTAGAGATCTTAATGATTGGCTTAGCTATTAGAAACTAGAACCCTTCATCAAGGAAACATCTAAGATGTTTTGACAAATGAGTTACACTATAAATTAAGCCAAAAGCGATCTTTGCGCGGCTTATTAAGCAACCACATGACTATCACAACTGCAGGAACACCAAAGGTGTTCTCCAAAGCTCCCCGAGCTTTGTGGAAAGCACTGTCATGCAATGGTCACTGGCCATAGAATTCATAAGATAATATGGTTATGATAGGTCTAAATCACCAGAGTGGACTTGAACCACTACACCAAGATTATGAGCCTTGTATGCTACCTTTACATCACTGGTTTGACCCTCACTTAGGGATAATTTAGCAGTTTTCTTAAGAATTTCCTCCGAAGAGAAACATC